GTCCTTAATGTCGTGTAACGTGATTAGACTTTGTCTCACCCGCAGTTTTCACAATAAACTAGAAAATATTCAAAATATCTAACGTGTAATTAACCCGTGCGAAACAGGTTAGACATAAGATAGTTTAAATGTTTATAATGTGATATGGGAGAATCTATATAATTAATTTCTGTGGCATTAATCGCTAGAGTGTAATAATTTGTCTACATCGAGGATTCGATGTTCTATATTCTCCAGCTCTAATAAAATATTTTATCGGATTTCCAGGAATCGCAACCCAGTAACTCGCTAAAAACGAAGGCATAAAGTTAAAGGTCCATACGAACGATTTGAAAATGAAAACAGATATTAAAATTCATCCCCTTCAAGTGCTCGCGAACATTCTAAAAGTTGCAGCAGGCTCAAAGGATGGAAAAGGGTCTTCCACGAAAGAAGCACGAGAGTTTTCAAAGGCAGAAGGGTAGTTTGTCAGGATACAAGACTGGCACCCTTCAAAGAAAGAAGGGAAACTCAACGATTGCTCGGTCCAATTAAGGTGGCGCCTAACGCTCGGCGATGAGTCGAGTAGTGCGTAGAAATAAAGCCACCAGCAGGAAACGAGACCGGCTAAAGGAAGGGGAATTGCAGGAGGGAAAGTGTGCAAGAGGTAAGATCAGCTCTCATTTCGCTCTTTTTTTTATATCTTTCTTTTTCGTCCTCTGGTCGAATAGCCCGCGTTGCCAGGCGACAGGAGCACAAGCATACTCTCGAAGATGTTATAGGGAGGGCATGCAAAGAGGACGAACTTTTGACCTTTTAAGAGTGTCTCCTTGAACCGCAGTTCTATGGCCTCTACACGATGATGATCCTACGGATCACTATCCCCGTCGGGTATATACATATATCCTTCGGGTTAATGTACCTTCGCGTAGCACAACATTTTCAAGACCTAAGTGGGATACCTAAAGTTTACATATTATTAACGGGCTACTTACAATATCACTCGCAACCAGTGTAAACAAGTGCAACAGAGACATCTTATCGACTAATTATCACAAAGATCCTCTTACCGGTCAATAGATATTCTTCAGTTATTTTCGTGGTTCCCTGTTCCAAGCATCCATTGATCTTTACACGTATTGATAAGGATGATCCGACGATGAACGAATCTAACTATAATTTTCTCTAATAACTTAAGTCGCGATCTCTCACAATCCTTATAATACCTGTAAAAAACGTTTCAATATTTTGGTAATTATGTACAAATAGTACTTATATGTATACTTGCACTCAACGATGTCAAAGATATTATTCCAAAGAAGTTTAATGTGCACATACTATCACTCAGCTTCTCTGTGAGAAATATATATAAAAATCTATTCAATATTACCCAAGTACTAGACACACTCTGTAAGCCGTGCTTAGTTTAGGTGGTAATTAGTGCAGTGAACAGAGTCGCTGGAAAGCGTATGGTAACTTATTATTAACAAATTGAATAAAGTTGTCAGGAAAAGTTACTTACAATCGTATCCTTCACAACATATACGTATACGTTAAAGTCAAAGTCAAACATAAATTAGTTAAAGACTTTACAATAAGATAACAGGAAGGAAGGAAGGAAGGAAAATCATGTAGCGCTTAACGGGTTAATATTATTAATATTTTTCACATTAATTTCATGATATTTATGATTCGACTTCAGTAACTCATTTATGTAATAGTGCGTTAAAACATTAGACGTAGATACATACTTATGTAGGTTATCATCTCAGGTGAGTGGAATTAAAAAATTAATATAAATTGAATTTTTCGTGTGCAAACAGCAGTCACAAATTACGATGCGATGCATTGATTGCAATTTTCAAAAACTATTTGGGAAAATTAAAGTTTTTTTAATTGTCAAAGAATTCTAATTCTTATGCAGGTACCCACAAGTAAAATTATGGTAATGAAATTCGATATATACTTTAAAAATATTCCCCAATGAATTATAGCTTTATAAAGGGGAAAATAATAAATGTTACATCAAAGGTTTCCGTTGAGATTAACTTTTGTATGCATACTTGAGATTTAACTAATTGAAAAAAACCTGTTTCCAAGTATTTTATCGGACAAAAGATTATCCGAGATTGTCGTCCACATTACGGGTAATTTTAAAGAAATTGAAAGGAAATATTAATGACAAATGATAAATATAGTCAAGCCTAGATAAGTTGACTTACAAGGAAAGGCAAAAAATCTTCGATTTTTAACATTTGAATTTTGAATGATCTTTCTATAAATCTAACACAGCTGATTAATTATAAATATACATTATTTTGCTTATGAAGACTTGAATTTTCCTTATAACTGACTGTTTCGAAATTGGTGATACTGAAAACAAAAAGTATAACCGGCCTAATGATCTTAAAATTTTAACACTTTTTTTACATACTATTAACTATCGTCAGTGTCATTATTACATTTCTATTTTAATTCAATTTTATCGATTAGCAATCAGTAAAGACTTATTTTATTCTTCTGCTTCAGAAGAATGTATAAGTTGAAATCATTATCGACAGCTTTTCGTAAGTTCTTCTTCTAAGAATTAGTTTGTAAAAACATATACATTTGTAACTATTTCAATTAGAAATATTTTTCTCTATAAATAAAGAAAGTAATTCAATAAGAATTTTAGAAAAATATTGAAAAATTATTTATTGTTTTCACCGAAAGAGTATTTTAAATATTTGCTTTTACGATTGTGTTCTACGGATGATGACCTAGGATAAAGTAAAATATAATATAAACGATAATAAATTAACATATGAATATATATATGAAAAATTCTTACACCTAATCTTGAATTTTCAAATTCAGAGTAAAATTTTTGTATTGCATCCGATTTTAATCATCACTTCAGACAAGTTTTACACTTATTTTATTTAAATGGTTTCATTTTCATAGACAAATAGCCATTCTGTACTTTTGATATAATATTAGTTAATACCTCTATTAGAGAGATACTAATGCAGTCCACTAATGATGATACTCACACAATTAATATATAAATTAATAATAAAAAGGAGTTGCATGACTCGTGGGAGCCATACGGGCATAGGGAGCAGAAAATAAATATATATTATAATATTCAGCAAATGCTACGTGCTATTAATGAAGCAGTAAGAAATTATACTCTCGCACGCGAAATATACAGCAATTCAATGAAAAATAACGGTACACGATTATGTTCGGAAGAAATTCCCGATGGATGCGACCTTGAACCATTGGATAAACAATTTAGTGAAGAAAATTCATATTGCTGCATCCCAATACACATCGCGAAGAAATGCGACCCCCATGCACTGGAACAAAGAAAACCAATTATCGTTCATTTCACTAATGAGTTTGTGCACTTTGTATCGATTAATAGAAACCAGTCATGAGACAGTGCAGTGAATAATTCGCAGAGGGCGCCTCCGACCTTCAAAAAGTCGAGCTATACTGCAGAAATATATATTATGCACAGTGTACCATTTTAATCTATAAATATAATTATCTCCGGAAATATTCCTTATTTAAAAAAATGTCTCAAATGCCATCTTTTCGTTTTGAGAGAGCAGTAATTTCGGTGCACTTTCTTTGTTTCTAGGTAGATGCCAACCTCTAGACTAAAACTCATCAAACCAAAAAGAATTGCACTTGAGATATTTTTTAAATAACTGTTAGTTCCGGAAACAATTATATTTATAAATTAAAATGGTACACCTTGTATATTTGAGATTTCTGTCTATGTTTACCAAGGTTTCTAACTCAGTAAAGTGTGCTCCATTCAATATATAAATGTTGCAACTGTCAATGTATTTAAACATTAGGGTAGTCCTTATGTACATTTGGCGAAAATGAAATTAAATTTTCTTTTAGACGCTCCTTAATATTGTAGCACTAACTGAAAAATACTCTACAATGCTACCAAAGCAGAATTTAAAATCATTTTAAAATATCAATCGTGACGTTCTCTGAAAAATTCGACCGTTTTTACAAAAACCCAGTTTTTTTCGAAAACTGGACGTGACCCAGCAATTTGGTTTTCAGGTTGGTATTTAGGGTAAGGAACTCTATAAGAATCACCTAGTGATTATTGCAAAACACAAAAAAAATTCAAATTTGTTCCACAGTGTATTTAAGAAACTTTTTTTTCTTTGACATTAATGCATCTTATAAAACAGTAGAACTGTCATCTAAGAAATTTTTGCGTCTGTTAACAAATAATAAAGGTATTCAAATTTCTTTCTTTACAGAGAAAGAGGGTTTTATTTAACAAAAAGGGCACTTTTAAAACTAAAAAAAGAAATATTTAAAAAAGTAAGAAATGGAGTATATTCGCGGACTTAAACTACATTTTTTTATTCATTAAAATGATTTATATCTTTTGTCTAATGATTGTTTTGTAATATTTACATACTTTTTTCTATGTTCAAATATAATTTGTAAAATAAGCCGTTTTTTTTCCTAATTCCTGGACAGTAATTGATTGTAGTTAATATGAGTTTAACACCACACTGGGCATTGTCATTGATACCGTTTAATGATTGAGTGAACCTCGACCTGTATCGAAAATCGCACTCAATTTATAAGATTCATCTATACTTTCATTATTAATTGCATCAACCACTCGGAGTGTTGTGACTTTTCTTTTTTCTTTAACAAAGAACGTCGATGCTGCTGCTTTAGTAGATAAATGCTATGGATGATTACAAAATGTTTTTATAGTTTCACAATTTATTTTTTCGTTTATATGTTCCGATACTCGCACTGTTGATTAAAAATTGTAAATCTTGGCATGAAGATTTCACAATTAATACTGCTCAAATCCACGGTTTTAAGAAACTACTTGAAAAGAATATTTCAAATGCCGTTTTCTTAGATAATGGCATAGATAATATCTATATAAACTGATTTTTTAATATATTTTCATGCACTATATTGAAATTTTTGGTGGAAAACCACCCATAAATATCATTATTAACTATAAAATTTTTCTGTAACCTGCTCTTGGTTGTTGGCCTTTTTGTAACGTGAAAATTGAATAATGTCGTTTGCTGTGGTTTGCAACATTTCTTCCAGAAGATTGACAGTTTTTCTACAAACACAACAGGCAAAATATAAAAAACTTCTCCTCCTAATTTTTGTACAAGGAGAACAGAAACTCCATGATAACGTCCGGTATTTGTAGAAGTATCGTGGTATCACGGCAAAACGCTTGTACCTACTTTTTCAGATTGCCTATTCTTATCCTCATTCTTCCAATAAATCGCAAACCGAAAAAGCTTAGTCGCTTCCGCTCTTGAACGAAATTTTAGTAACTAGCCATCATTTTTCCACACTTTTGCAACTAATTAATACCTGTGATTTTTCCACTTTTTCTGTCCCCTTAAAATATTATCTCTCCCAATGTACTATAACTGCATCGAACTCGTGGTCATTAAGCGTTCCATAATTATTTTGCATGTTCATGGCCAATTTCTATTCGATGACGGCGAACGGGTGTTCCATCTATTACTAAATCGTTTAAATTGTTACCGATGCGAACATTATCATGATCACTTATTACGCTTTATACACACTTGTCAAGTATGGCAATTAGTTTCGGTCTTGAAAATTATTTCCGAGTTGCCTTAAATTATCGCCTTTGCTTCGGGTTACTTGGTCCAGATAAATTCACAGGATCATCAATTGCAATATTTCAAACATCACTAAATTACTTTTTATCCTCAGCAGAGGACGATGATACTTGGAATTCTGTTTCATCACCCTTAAAAAATATATGAAAATATTAACAGAAATAGTGAGAAAATAATAAAAGTAATACAAAAATAATATAATAACCAGTACGTTCTATGTACTTAATAAAAATTAAGTGCAGGTATAGAAAATATATTAGCTCATAGTAATAACCAGTGTTGCTGATTTGGTACTGCATTCGTTTGGATTCTTCTTATTTTTTTTTCAAATTGTTTACCTCTGTCCTTCATAAGTCAGGGACTCGAATTTTTACTACACTGTATCTTCTTTGTAGGAATTCATGGCTTTATCCAAACAATATCAGCTTCCTTCACAAATAAAAAAACACTCGCGTGAACATTTAATTTTATTTTATTTAATGAAACATCTGCATTGTAAAATAAAACATTGAATTATTGGCGCCAAGTTACCATTTAACGATAAAGCATTAACGATAAAACGGTAATCACAAGAAAAAAATAATTTTTGCTCGATCATGCAGAAAGTCGAATTATTGGCGCCAAGTTACCATTTAACGATAAAGCATTAGACTTTCTGCATGATCGAGCAAAAATTATTTTTTTCTTGTGATTACCGTTTCTGATTAAAATTCTCACTTTACGAACTACAATGCTATTTCGCTGAATGTTTAGGATCTAGTAAGAAATTCGTGGAAATGGAAATTATCTGGGCTGAAACTACTTAACAAAAGTGATATTCGCCAAGATAAGAATTTTTCCAAGGTAGGGTAGGACCCAGGCGAATCGGATCAAAATAGGAACATTGATCATGATGATCTTGATAACAACAAGATTACAAAATCGTTAAAATCATTTACCTATTTGTCGGTAAAGGTTGTTTTCCTGAAATCAAACTCAAACACATAGTATGTACAAAGTCACAATATTTAATAGGTTCGTGGCCGCGGTTATATTGGAAATACCATCGCTGTGAACCGTCCTTTTTCTGTAATTATTTTACAGAATACGATACTCATACAACCTATACTCATACGAAGCATAATAAATACACCAAATGAAACATTTTCAATAAGTATTAGGGTAGACCGAGGCAAATAAGATCGTGGCGCGAATCGAATAAAAATAAGAATATTGTCCATATTTGTTACGTTCTTATAGAAATGAGCATGCTAATCGTCCATATTTCTTCGTACATCTTCCCTACAGTTAAAGCAATACATCTTCAAATGTTTTGAAACGTTGTTTACCACGCAAAGCGAACGCGAACGAACGTAATGAATTCGTAGCTACTTTAAAATACGTTATTCAGAATTTCCCATTTAAAATGAAAAGCTTAGCTTGAAAATTCAAATGACAACAAAGAATGACAAAGAAGATTCACCATTTGTCGAATGATGAAAATCCCGGGATTTGGGGCGAATCGAATATTTCTCACTTCCAGTTTTTTGTTTATAAAACGCAGACTTTTAGGTTTTTAAATATTTCTTTTACTGATATTGAAGTTGAATGTCTATTAATAACAAATTTATGAAAAAAGATGTTGATTCTAAGTTTTAACTATTAGTTTTTTGCTGCTAAATCTGAACTGATCCGATTCGTCTCGATCTACCATACCATACTGGGAATAGCCTTAAATGAGACACGTGGGAAATTCCTCGTATCTTGAGCTTCATTAGCAGATAGTTAACTATATGAAGCATTTTGAATCGAACGGAACATACTGGGAACAAAGCAGTCAAAACAGAGAACTGCAAATCCTAGATAGTGGTCGAGTAAATATGAAATTTTAAATAAAAGGAAACATATTAAATAGTTTTATAAAGTTGTTCTTGCCAAACTAGTCAGAATTTCTTTGACATGTATTTAATACGTGCAAGGTACAAAAATGTAAAAGTTGGAAATTCTGACTTAGTTTATGACATAAAAAGAGCTCGAATACCGATAATATCTACAAACAGGCTTCCCAAAGTAAATTGTTGTATATCATAATATTACACATAAGGGGTAGGTATTAATTGTAAAAATTGATATTTATAAATGAATGAAAAAATTTGTTGTATAAAAGTTGTACCGTTTTATAAGATAAATATAATTTAAAAGGGGAACTATTTGTTTAAAGGTCAGTATTTCAGTAAAAAAACAAGTTTAACGATATATAACTTAACTTAATTATGCTTATGATATGCTTCAATAGGGGACAAACGAAACACATAAATAAGAAATTAATACTTAAAAACTCAGATAAAAGCTGAGAACTATTAAAACCAACAGTAATTAACAATATGTCTATGTCTCTAATTGAGCAGCAAAGCGAATTTCTCGATGTTTTTCAAGAAAACGTAAATAAATAAACGTCAAATATCTTCAAGATCGTAAAGTACTTCAAGGTATTTAATGGGTCTATTAGATTAACAACCAAATGAAGTTAATTTAAACAGTGATATAGGAAAGAAATTTTCATAGAAAATAGCAATGAATTCAAATTGTTTATCGTATGATATTATGGCCTTGCAGGAAAGCTGAACACGCAAACATTATTATTATCCGCTGCGTCAAAATGATAGCACATCCTCAAACTTTGCCTATTTCAGTTGGTACAAAGTCGTAAAACTGTTCGCACCAGCAACTATATAATACTCTGCGTATTTCAAAAGCGATATCTTGTAAAATTCTATAGTTCGTTATGCAATGGGTCGCGAAAAAGGATTGAATGCTTGTGAAATAGCAACAATTCAGAATTTTCGTAAAGAACATTCTTTTATTAGTAAAATTGCGAAAACGTTAAATCGTTATCGGTATGTTATTTACAATTTTTTTAAGAAATATGGAGAATTATGGACAAGAGTAAAGTACAGTTAGTCCAAAAGCAACCAATGGCCTGCAAGTTTAAGAATTGCATCAAATTCAGCATCGACTGCAAGAGAGATTGCAACAAAAGCTGGTGTGAATACTACTATACGTAATATAGAGCGTATTATAACAAATTATCAATACATAAAACGCCGGAAACTTATGCTTAAACCACCATCAACGAAGTTGCACAAATAAGATCGGACAACTCAACAACTCATTTTGAGATGAGCTGGAAATTTCCTGCATCTCAGTTCGAATTACCCTCACCGCATCTGACTTTTTAATATCATCATCCAATAATATTGTCTCAACACACTATTTAATTCTGGAAGTCGCCGCGAACCTACCCTTACGACATCTTCCCTCTGGGCGGACAGTTAGTCACCAGTCGCCATTCGATAGTCGTCATTCAGTCGCCAGCAAGTCGCTACTCAGTCGACAGTCACCAGTCGATAAGATTAGTATATGCTAAGAAATTAAAAAACTGAAAATGGACATATTAAGCAACAGAGTTGTTAAAAAGTTATTTAAATCTGTTCCAAGACATTTACTCTGTCAGTTATACAAACAAAAGGGAAAGCTATAAAATATTGAAATAATATTTTCTTTTACATATTAAGTAGTTTAAGAATAATGTACTATCTTTTTGACGCATTAATTTTTCGCTTCCCAGTACATATAGTAAAATAAATGTTTTTCTTTTTGTAATTAAACTGTTTAAATACATTAAAATAATTTGTTATTCTTATTAAAGAGTATAAATATCAGTATAGATAGTAATTCAATATATAGTTTTAAAAATTAAAAACATCCTATTTATATAGTGTGCTATCTTTTTGTCGCTGAGTGTAATAGCATTGCATACTTAGTTTCCACGTGTAAACCGTATCCTTAGAAACAATTTCCCGACGTTTCGCTAGCATTCCAACTGGCATCATCAGGCATCCAAGTCCTCACTGATGCTGGTTGGCCTTTAATTTTGGCCACTCAGATCGGGCAAATATCCCATGGCTGATGCTTGAAAGTGCACAGGGGCAAAGGGAGACGTCCACTCACGGTACTCGGTCTGATAGTTATGGTGTTTTGGTGAAAATGATGTTTTGAACAATTTTTCCTTATACGTACAAGTATCGCTAAAAACTCCTAGTAGCGTGGGTAATGGATTGAACGTCACAGCGATCCCAGAAGAAAACGCAAGTAAACAAACTCAGGCTCAATTCTTACCTTATGTCACTGCTTATTTCTTTCTACGCGTGTTCAAGAAAGAACTCAAATTATATAACTTGCTGATAATTATATAATCTAGATTAGTATGAGTGTGCCAGTGGATCATTTAATGTTAAATTAAAAAAAAAATAACTTACTAAAATGTCGAACTCTCTTAGTGTTTATTAAAAACCATTGAATTCAAAGTGGAAGGATTTTTAGCATTTATAAAGTAAAAAGGTGGGTGGAAGAGAGGTTTCGCATCGTCTCTTTCTCTCTTCCTTTCTCCCTTCTTTTACAGGTTTCAGTATTCAGTGCTTACTTTATGTTCACGACGATAAGATTTTATTATTTCTGATTATATGAAATAACGCTATAAATTATTTTCTAAAATAAAGTCTAGATTGGCGACTTATAACTAGTAACGGTTGGATACATGAAATGGTTTTCCTTACATAAAAATCTGTTTCAAGCTGTTTAAATGTGTAAAACCCGATTTTGTGTAATTTTCATCTATACACTTAAGTACCGAAAATGTATTCATATGTGTATTAAGGGTGGACCTTAAGCAAAGAATCAATATACGTTGATTTGGAGATAAAAGGCGTTAATTCAGAATCGGCCAAAATTACCCAAGACCGATTTTCCTGAAACTTTGCATATTGGTAGCTCTTTGGGTCTAACATTGATTCCGCGCAAAAATTTTCTCCCTGGGCTTTAAGGTCGCGGGAGAAGAGGGTCAAAGTACGTATTTTGTGAAATCTATTATGTGTTGTAACTTTTAATAAAAACAGGATATCGACCCGAGACTGATACCAAAAAATCATTAAAAACTCAAGCTTTCCGACGGTGTATAGGTATATGTAATTTATTTATTGCTTACATAATTTTTTCACGTTTTCCGTGTTTGTCAAGGTGGAAAAAATTCAGAGAAATTGCAACTTCCAAAAAAAGTATCGCCTGAATTTAATAAAAAACGCTACATTAAAAGTACGCTTCATGCTGTTTCGAACGGTGTTTGTCAAAGCTTGAAGAAAGTATTCAGTTTTCAGTTATAAAGTAAAATGTGAGTAGAAGTTGAGGCGCGCGGTCAACTACTTGACCTAAATATTCGTTTCAAATGTGGAAAAAACGCTTCCTGTGATTATATGTACACTGTATGTAACACAGCTATGTTATTGTTATCAGTTTTTCAGTTTTGAAACAGTGAAACACATTGGTTATATTTTACAATAATTATATCAGCTTGCAGATATTGCTTATTTTATTTTATGCCTCATTATACACGTAACAGTTTTAATACTTCGATTTACATTCACGAAAATATTTAATCAATTGAAACGAAACATACACTATTTTAAGATTTTCCGAGACGTAACTATTGACCCC